TAATAGTATTGCTGACTGCTATGTTGTACTGGGACAATTGTTTATATACAATATGGCAGACATATACCTAATAGTATTGCTGACTGCAATGTTGTACTGGGACAATTGTTTATATACAATATGGCAGACATATACCTAATAGTATTGCTGACTGCTATGTTGTACTGGGACAATTGTTTATATACAATATGGCAGACATATACCTAATAGTATTGCTGACTGCAATGTTGTACTGGGACAATTGTTTATATACAATATGGCAGACATATACCTAATAGTATTGCTGACTGCAATGTTGTACTGGGACAATTGTTTATATACAATATGGCAGACATATACCTAATAGTATTGCTGACTGCAATGTTGTACTGGGACAATTGTTTATATACAATAAGGCAGACATATACCTAATAGTATTGCTGACTGCTATGTTGTACTGGGACAATTGTTTATATACAATATGGCAGACATATACCTAATAGTATTGCTGACTGCTATGTTGTGCTGGGACAATTGTTTATATACAATATGGCAGACATATACCTAATAGTATTGCTGACTGCTATGTTGTACTGGGACAATTGTTTATATACAATATGGCAGACATATACCTAATAGTATTGCTGACTGCAATGTTGTACTGGGACAATTGTTTATATACAATATGGCAGACATATACCTAATAGTATTGCTGACTGCTATGTTGTACTGGGACAATTGTTTATATACAATATGGCAGACATATACCTAATAGTATTGCTGACTGCAATGTTGTACTGGGACAATTGTTTATATACAATAAGGCAGACATATACCTAATAGTATTGCTGACTGCAATGTTGTACTGGGACAATTGTTTATATACAATATGGCAGACATATACCTAATAGTATTGCTGACTGCAATGTTGTACTGGGACAATTGTTTATATACAATATGGCAGACATATACCTAATAGTATTGCTGACTGCAATGTTGTACTGGGACAATTGTTTATATACAATATGGCAGACATATACCTAATAGTATTGCTGACTGCAATGTTGTACTGGGACAATTGTTTATATACAATATGGCAGACATATACCTAATAGTATTGCTGACTGCTATGTTGTACTGGGACAATTGTTTATATACAATATGGCAGACATATACCTAATAGTATTGCTGACTGCTATGTTGTACTGGGACAATTGTTTATATACAATATGGCAGACATATACCTAATAGTATTGCTGACTGCAATGTTGTACTGGGACAATTGTTTATATACAATATGGCAGACATATACCTAATAGTATTGCTGACTGCTATGTTGTACTGGGACAATTGTTTATATACAATATGGCAGACATATACCTAATAGTATTGCTGACTGCTATGTTGTACTGGGACAATTGTTTATATACAATATGGCAGACATATACCTAATAGTATTGCTGACTGCTATGTTGTACTGGGACAATTGTTTATATACAATATGGCAGACATATACCTAATAGTATTGCTGACTGCTATGTTGTACTGGGACAATTGTTTATATACAATATGGCAGACATATACCTAATAGTATTGCTGACTGCTATGTTGTACTGGGACAATTGTTTATATACAATATGGCAGACATATACCTAATAGTATTGCTGACTGCACTGTTAAACAACAAACTGACAAACCAAACTTCTGCTTCACAAAACACCTGGCTGAAGACCTGAATAGGGAAGGGGCAGATAATAGGAACTATACCATTCCATAACTGCTTCCCTTTGAATTACAAAGGCTGGTACACAAAATACAGTTTCTCAATGGCAATCCCAAGTCTGATACCTTTCATGTTACACGAAGATATATTTTCTATCATCATTCACCTGAAGGCTGGGAATTACTGATATCAGAATGTGTTATTGTTAAAATGTTTCATTTGCAGAGTGACACCCCAAACCTCTCCCCCATCCCATTGTGACTTGTAGAGTGAGTGAGTGGGTTTGGGGGCGCGGTGGGCCAGCTGGCTGAGGCGCCAGGCTAGTAATCCAGCGAGTTTGAGGTGATAGGATCGAGCCCACCTGCGACCGGGTGTAAAAACCTTGGAGTCAACTTTGTGTGCAGACTCTTTCAGTGTTGTCACAACCCCTAGTGTACGGTACACAACCCTGTGCACTTAAAAGAATCCACAAATCCGTTGGTATATGACCAGATTGTGGCCACATGAATACGTGCAAACACCAAGTTGCGTGTACAGCAACGTGCAGTGAACTTGGACAAAGTACTGTGACTATGTGTCCCAGTCCACCCAGCTGTGAATGGGTACCTCGTAAGGATGGGAAAGCAACACTAACTCTGTGCCTAGTGGCTGCAAGAGTTGTATGCTCCCCAGGGAGTTGAGATTGATAATACAACAACGTGCCGTTGATATTGACATCCAGTGATCGAAGGAAAAATCAAAGCGCCTGTGAGCAGCTGAGCTGGATATCGGTGCTATACAAATGTTAGTATGTATGTATGTATGTATGTATGCTTGGGTTGGTGAGTGGGTGGGTGGGTGAATGAGTGTTTAATCACAAAGTGAAAGCTCAGCGAGGGAGGAGCTTGATACAGGATTCAAACAATGAAACAAACCAGCACAGGACTCCCTGGAGATGACAAACCTAGAAACATAATCAGGTCAAACCAGGATTCGAACCCATGATCATAGGTTCCTGGTATGCCCAAGGGACATAACTCTTCGCAGCAAATTGTGACGCCATAGACGAAATGGACACGGATGCCCTTGAATCAGGACAGGAATATATGTTATATAAGGCAGGTATATACAGTACATTTACGTCAGACAGCTTGTAACATCACACAATGAAAATGTAGATGCTGTGATCGTAACATCAGCTGTAATACCTGTATAATACACTTTTACTTCATCTGTTCTTTCATTTCATTATTTACAAATATTAAGACCCATTTATGAGAAATATTTGACTCCTTGATGGAGATAACTTCATTGTTGCTTAATTTCTGTATGTGAGGTGAGGTGAAATTGGGTTTAACGTCGTGCTTGAGAATATTTCGCTCATATGATGACGTGCATGCATGTGTATGTGTATGTGCGGCTGCTTGTACTAGCCCAGACTTAAGCTGGTTTTATAGTGCTAGCTCACTGAGATACCATGCCGCAGTGAAGCATGAATACCCCACTCAGATACATTATTCTGACTCCGAGCCGAGCCGACCAGTCCTTGTCGTACTCGTTAATGCCGAGCGCCAGGCAGGGACCAACAAGTACCATATTTTAACGTCTTTTGGTATGACGCGGTCGGGGATCGAACCCGCGACCTTCCGCTAATTTCTGTATGTAGAGTTGGTGTAAGCATGAGCTGGTGACAGAACAGCCAGAGAACGGTCAAACCTGTATGTTACCTCCCTTTACATTTCATCTCCAACTACTGTCAAATAATTCATCCATTGCTTAAAGCAACGTATTCAACCATAATCTCACTGTGACATCAAAGATGAAGGCTAAGAAACTAGTATCTGAAATGTGCAACATTACATCAGTCAAAAGGCAGGTGAAACAAAGAAAGAGTGCAAGGTGTAACCGAGCCGAAGTGAAATGAAGTTGAGTGCTTGCATGTGTACATTTTCTGTTGCCAGATTGAAAATTGCTGTATTTAGAACCACAACAACATATACTGGCCATACTGTAGTGTGCATCAAGTCATTGCTCAGCCTATGTATCCTGCTTCATAATGTTCCACCACCAATACGTCCAGTAATGGTGATTTCTGAAGAGCAGAATTGTAATGCCTTTATTGTAATATTGTGTTTCAGACATTTTCATTTTTTACACACATATGATCTCAAAATTAGAAATTTACCCACACATACTATTTTGATCAGAAAAATATACAGTATTTTATTACTTTTTTATATTCTGAAACTCTGGTCATAAATCTGAGCTGCATTTCTGTTTGGACTGTCTTTTGTCTAATCAAAGGTCAGGATTATGTACAAATTATCAACCGTAAAACATAAGGCCTTTTTAGGATCTTTTCAAGGCCCAATAAAACTTGTTTAAGGCCTAATAGAAACTACAGGCTGTAACGATTCACTCGCATATTCGGTGAATCGAACCGTAGCCCTTCATGAATTCAATTCGTTATTCGTGGTCACCAGAACCGAATATTAACGAATATTTACATTTTTTTTAAGGGAGCATGTTTTACTTGAACCCTTGTGTACTTTTTGAAAGTGAGATATGCAGTAATGGAATATGTACTAGCCTTGCAGTAGCCCAAGTCATGTTAGTTTGCCAATGCCACACACGGTACTGTCGACTATAACTATTACATACCAAATTTGAGTGTCAAGATCACTGGTTATTGCTGTGACAAATTAACACTGTCAACATGGGCGTTCCATATTGTACATCAATCACTTAACTACAATATTGTATTCGTGAATAACTATTCGTATTCATTACCCAATATTCATGATACGTAGCATTTTCGCCACATAGTGTATTCGTTTCAGCCCTAATATTAGAAACACATATAAAACAAACAGTTAAACAATGTTGGTCAATTGTGGGACTCATAGCAGGGAAATAACTCTACTTGTCTAATCAAAGGTTCTATGCTGACATGCCACTTTTATTGGAATTTATCACAAAATATATTGTTATGACTCCCTGACTATGAAATTGAAATAAATCATGGTATCTGCCTGTTTGTGGTCCGTGTACATTGAAACATACATGTATAAAGGTGTTGGTTATACTCCACCATGTCATGTCAAGCAGTTTCAACTTCTATTTCTATTTCAGCTATTGTTTATAATCGTCCATTTTATTGATTCATTTTCAGAGAGCTGCCATAACTATTTCAAGATATCAGAAAATCATCCATCAAATAAATTACGTCCCTTTGTACGTGCTCTCTTTAGAAAAGGCGAAGAAAGGTTGTTACGTCACCGGAAGGTGGGGCTGTTTCAAGGCCGTCGCTTATGTAAATATGCAATCTCATCACTGTTGTGTTACGGGTTGTACCGCATCGACGCGAAAGCAGCAAAATGTTCACAAGTACCCATGGCTACAGGGGGTGACCTTTTTCTCCTTCCCGAACAGGATCAGGGCATCCACTCTTCAGAGAAGATGGAGAGCCTGCATGGGCACCGAACAAGTACAGTCGGATATGTTCAAGACATTTTTTGCCAGGTGGTGACTGTCCGACACTGTTTCCACATAACTTAAAATGCCCTCCACTCTAAGGTAATGACCACTTACACATATACTTTATTTTTCATTGGTTTTAAAAGTCTTTGTAACCATTATTTTGTTATAATTTTGTGAGTTTGGCCATGGATCTATAAATAGATCCTTGGTTTGTCATGGTGGGAGGTCGATAATCAATATTAATACAGATTCGAAAAGCCGACTGTATAAATATTTGTTTTATTCAACACTATTGTCAAAGTAGTTAGCACTTCTGCTCAGTATAAATCTACAAATTGTGAATGATAGGATCGAATTACTTTAGATGTTTGTTCTATTTTTGCAAATAAAAAATAATCTGTTCTAAAACACTGTGCCCCTGAAAATTATCAATTATGTTTTTTTATAGATCTACTCAAAACGCATCACTTCACCTGGCCATGGATGAGAGGAAACCCACCAACGAGCTCGCAACTGTACATGTTATGCACAGACTTTGCCTCCATACCCTACACAGTTGGAGAGATCACTGTCCTTCAGCCAACATGGAAAACAAGCTTTTCAAAAGGTCTGCTCATAAATATTTCTTAACTTTTAAATGACAAATTTTATTGAAAATATATTTTGAATATTTGAATAAAGAATGAAAATCTTATGTTGATTTCGTAATTATTTTTTGAAAGAGCTAACTGACTTTGTGACTCAAGGTATTTTTTTATTTTCCTCCAGGTGCAATAGAGTCAAACACATCCATTGTCATAAAGGAGGCAGAGAAGAGCCGGATGTGTGAGACTGGAACTCAGACAGATCTGACAATGTCAGACATTCATAACATGAATGAGGACCTTAAAAGTAAAAGTGAAAAACTAGATGACAAGGAAACTCTATTATGGGACTTGTGTCTGGAAAATGTTGTTAAAGATGATGAACATGTAAGGTTCTATACAGGCTTACCATCTTGTACTGTTTTATTGGGTATCTATTAGTGGTGTTCCGATTAATTGAAATAATCGAAGATTGGTCGCTACGACCAAACGACCAAGCAATCGATCACATTTTCTCATAATCGAACATAAACGATTTTGGAACTACTGTTTTAGTCTTTAAAATACTTGACAATGGAACATATCGTTGAAGCGTCAGGGCCTGAAAACCTGTATAATTCTTAGAAAACTCACTTCAGTAACTGAAAAGCCATGACTGAATATTTCTTAAAGACTCCGGGAAGTTTATGTTCATGATATATAAGTCTGCACTTTCAAGAAGCCAGTTGCATCATGTTATTCATATCTGCAATAACAACCTGGATAGGAAAATCTGAATTTCTTTTATCGATGATTGTTCGTTGGTAATGAATCAATCATCAATTGTGAGATTTCAACAAATTCTCAACACTAGTATCTATAACATACTTGTTTCTAAATGTTCACTTTTGAACTATTGAAATGGCAATGCTGCTGCATGTGACATAACAAATAATTGTAGATCTCGTCCTGGTCCAAGTAGAAAGTTGACAATATATCACGAATATATTCTTTCTCTTGTTCGTCTGAGACTGGGATTTCTATCTGTACATGCATGTCTTACTAACCTTTTACACCTCTCACATACATTTCATATATGAATAATTTACAAGACTACAACTGCAGATCAATTTAAGACAACAGTTTTGGGACAATGAATGATTCATAGAAAGAGGTTATTTTCTGAAAATCGTTTTTCCATTCCATTTCCTCAAAAAAAATCCTATCAATATATATCAAATGCTTTCCAGTGTTTAAGGTACCTTCAATATAGAGAACAAAATCACACCTATGCATATTTGCAACTGCCATTTGGCACTGTATTTGCTTGAACCAAGGTGAAGACGTATTCAACTTTATCACTCCATTTCCATTTTTATACACATTGTAATTCTCAGAACAAATTTCATCAATACTGCAATTTTTGTATTTGTAAGTAGTGTAACGCCAAACAGGGGAGGGTATGCTATTCGATGCTCAGAGTCACTAAAATATGTACCCTTGTGCATGCGAAAGTACAAGTGTAGAATTTACACAGTCTGATTAGGTAGCGCAAGTTTGTTTACAAACATGTCTAAATTCAGCCCCCTAATTTGCATTACACTAACAAGTTCGCTTGTTACTCCAAGAAAATATATTACTGATAAGTGATAAATGTAGGGAATACGTGTTAAGATAATTAATTTGTGATATGTAAACTATTGTGTTCAGTTTAATTGGCTTGAAAATAAGACTTCTGTGCTTCGCATCTAGATCATAGAAAACGTCAGCCATATTGTCAATACAATGTCCTTGTTCCTGATTGGTCAGTTCGTGGGAGGACCACCCTTTAACCTCTGACCCGACATTCCTTGAATATATAATTAGCTAGCTGACGTTTACTAATGGCTAGACTTGGCATTGGTTTCTGAACCCGCGAAACTTATACTTTCCATAACTCCGAAACTTCTGGAACAACAACAAGAAAAAACTTTGTGTAAAAACGTACAAGATGCATTTCAACAACAATAATAATTTATTAATACATACATATACATACTAACATTTGTATAGCGCCGATATCCAGCTCAGCTGCTCAAAGGCGCTTTGTTTTTCCCTCGTTCACTGGATGTCAATCTCAACGGCACATCGTATTATCAATCTCAACTCCCTGGAGAGCATACAACTCTTGCAGCCACCAGGCGCACCGAGCTACTGTGACATTCCCATCCTTACGAGGTACCCATTTACAGCTGGGTGGACTGGGACAGATAGTCACAGTACTTTGTCCAAGTTTACTGCACGTTGCTGTACCCGCAACTGGGTGTTTGCACGTATTCATGTGGCCACAATCTGGTCATATACCAACGGATTCGTGAGTTCTTTTAAGTGCACAGTGTTGTGTACCGTACACTAGGGGTTGTGACAACACTGAAAGAGTCTGCACACAAAGTTGACTCCAAGGTTTTTACACCCGGTCACAGGTGGGCTCGATCCCGTCACCTCAAGCTCGCTGGATCACTAGCCTGGCACTTTAGCCAGTTCGTCCACCGCGCCCCACAGTAACATACAGTAACATATCTACATATATACACTTAAAAAGACACCTAGAAAAATACTCTAAATCGGTGCATCCCAATCGCAACGACCTATAGTACCAACTGACTGCTAACCCTAATTAGAAATTCCCCAAATTCATTATTACTCATTCTTATAAGTCCTGGTTAACATTTACAAATTACTTATATAAAATATTCCGAGTCCTGGTGAATGTTCTGCCATCCTCACCTCTTAGCTTAGCTTTGATTCTGGTGTATAGATGTTTAGCTGCTTAAAGCCTCCAAGAAATGCAGGCAGATTTACGGTAGCGTCTCCCCTTTATTCTTAATTACAATGACGTCACAATCGAAATGCACCAGCTGCAGTGACCACGTGACCATGTGAAAGATTCGTAAACAAAGATGGCAGGACCCATAAAACAACCTGTCATCCCTATGCTGTTTGACGATTCTAAGAACTTCGGGGCTACTGCACATATTTTCTTCTGACAGTAAGGTAATAAACGTATTCTCGATATACCCGAGAAATAGTTTAATGATGTACAATCACTTCCTAATGTCATAATCTAACCCAGTACTCTACCGGAAGTATGATGGACATTCGATTCGACAGTTATGTGCAGAATGACGTAATGACCAGTACGTTTTAGAATAAGCTAATGATACCCCATTGCGCTTCAGTACATTTAACTTCTAAAAGGCCCTTACCACAACATTTACAATGTACAACACCATCAGGGCTGGCACCAAGATGAGGAATATTTTCATTTACTAATAATCCTGGAACATAAACATTCAAGCCAACATGGTCTATTTTCTGTTTACATTCATACTATTGATGGGCAAGGACTTCACGCTCTTTTCCATACATTGTTGATGCTAATCTTGAAGAAGCACAAGTACTACTAACATCAGATTGACCTCTATACTCAGACATGACTTGCTTTACTATGTAATTGTAACTTATATTTTGACTGTTAATTAACACATTTGGAAAGACAGATGCAGTCAGTCGACCACATCGATATTTAAACCAGTTTTCATTATCTGACTGACCTGCAGAAAGTGAATTAAATTCTTCACAATCACTGTGTGTCATGTTAAACTTAACATAATCAATGAAGTTTGGGAAGTGAAATGCTAACTTGACTATGCTCATTATCCAAGACTTCATTCATTTGACAATCTGTGTCCTTAATTAATTCATGCAATGCATTCTGGACATGAAAACAACATTCTTTACTAGGTCGATAATTATTAATTGTATCTGTGTGGAGTAGTGAAGTATTAATGTCAGCTAGTTTAAGTGGTGAAGACTCTTTCCTAGCATTGTCCCAAACACACTTGACATCTGTGCAAATCTCTGTACTCCTGTCCGCATGTCTGTCAGACCAGTCCACAATGCTGAACAGTAGGGCAACAACGTGCTTACAAGCGCAATCATCACTGAAAAAAATATGAACCAGAACTTATTTAATAAATATTATGAATTTTGGAAAAGATTAAAAAACATTGTAGCTTTGAAGTTTTTTTTGTAACACCTCACTTGACATAATTCAACTGATTCTGGGTAGACTACGCACAGGAAATTCAATAATTAGTAGGAAAATACACATAAAAATAACACTTACCCTGTACATTCACATCCTGCTGACACAATACAAGCATTTTCCTTCTCCAGTAGACACCAGGTTAGGTAGGCCTTCTCAGACTGTGATGTCTCACGGGTGCACTTGGCTCGTACATAGATATGATCGTGTGTCAAACTATCAAGATCAACTGTATGACATGGCCATCGACATGCCGTCGATATCCCTTCTCCTTCCTGAACCCCTTCAGTCTCTCTTTACTCCAACTTGCATGCCCCAGCAAGTAGCAATGCTCAAGGTAAGGGCGGATAACTCATCCCAACCTCAGTCAGTGAGGGCTCTCAGTTTACGTTGATTTGAAGCAAATCCCTTCTACAAAGATGGGAAATAGTATGTGCACTACAGGCTGTGGTAAATGGCAGATGTGTAATAACTATATTCAGAGCTAGACTTGGTTTAATAGTTTTGTTATGATGAAATAGGTTTTTGAAAATTTGATTTGGTGGGGAAAATGTGTTATTACACTAATGAAACTTTCTTATTTTAAAGAAAAAAGTATATACTTAATAAATCATACCTTAAAATATTGTTTTTCAAGTGACAATGACATTTTAAAACAAATTCAAAATGGGTGACTTTCACATGTGGTCTGAATTTTTATCAATTTCATGTTCAAGTTACCTTATTTGAAACCTAAACCCCCTTGTTAATGCTTATCTGTGTGATTGTGTAAAAAAAATTGTGACTTTTTCAATGAGAAAGGGTCATTCAGTCTAGAAAAATTAGACAATTTGCAAATGAAACAAATTGAGAAAATCTGAATGCAAAAATATAAAAGGATCAGCCTTTGTCTATTAAGAGCCCATGGCCTGTCTGTCTTGGCAATTCTACCATATCATTTAATTTCACATGAGTTTATATTTAGCATATATATTTTATATTTGTTTTAAAAGTAGTTTTTATATCAAGTCAAGTCAAGTCAGGTTTATTCTATATCAATGTGACAACAAGAATCATCAGAAGATGACTATCCCACCAGTTCCACATAAATCCTAAGATCATGTTTCTGATCCATAAACAAACCCTTACCCGGAATCAATTCTAAGTCTAGCCATTGAAATAAAAAATTTAGTATTCTGAAAATATCAAAAGGCACCACTTCAGTACTTGGCTGATGCATACAAAGTTTCAGAAAGAAATAATGAACGGTTTTCAAATTCTGTTCCGGAAACGAAATGAATTACAGACGGACAGACAGGACAGATGGACAGACAAGGTAATACATACTGGTGGGATATTACACATAATTTTCACTGAATAAATGATCATCAAAATCGTTATACAGTCCCTAAATCAAAGAATTATCATCAAGTAGGGCTAGACTAAACTAAACACCAACGGTATCGTAATGATAACCACTGATGACTGCAACATATTACACAAGACTGGAAACTTGTACTCTCACTCACTGCATATGCAACTATTCAATAAAATCATATCTTCCACTTAGTTTCTTTTAACACTTCTCCTTTGAATTTGTGGTTGACATATTGAGTGCAAAGACATTAATGCGTGTTTTGGGAGAATTTCATCCATTTCCGGCTATTTTTTCTCCACTTTTGTTCTATTTGTAAAATCACTATGAACACCCTTGACCTTAAATATTGTTCCCACCAATCAGCATTGATAAGGACACATTTGTGATTTAAAGATTTCATTATTTCCACTAAAAGTGAATATTTTATGTACGGTTGTCATTTTTTCTGTTTTGTTTGTTTCTCTAGGTCCTGACGGTGCCATTTTTGTAGGATTTTTCACATGAGATATATATGGACAATAAAAATCAATAAAAAATATGGTTTTCTTTCTTAAGGTTCATATGAGATAAAGCCATTTAATGATAATAATAAAATCACATGTTTGGAAAAATCATTGAGCATAGCTACAGCAAGTAAACTAGGATTTCAGGTTGACAGAACATCAGAAGCGAAGACAGGTTATCAGTCCACAATTTCAGTTTGGGCGACACAACCACGGGAAACGTCACAGTTTTGTTGTCAACAACTACCGTAGTCCGTACATCTCTCCAAAAAGGAATGAAGCCGTGTCATCGCGAGT